AAGTCATTTTTTTTTGGCTTACGGCGATCCTGTGATGGAGCTTTTTTGACAGATTTCTTCAGGAGGGTTGGCCATGGCCACGCTCTGAGGCTGAGAGAGTGTGACTCGCCCAAGGTCACCCAGTGCAGTGTGACTAGAGCTCCTCCTTTTCCAGGACACATCCTCCATTTCAGCCGTCTGTCCAGGAGGATTTCCAAAATGCCCTCCATTTTGAGCCTCACTAAGAAGCATGAAATTTGCATTCATATTATTATATTAGTGTTCTTAACTTTTGTGTGGTAAATGTCCTACACTTTTTCTTCAGTGTCCTCCATTTTGCGGTGCCTAGTCCTCTGCGGTTAGGACACACCTGGTCACCCTGAACCAGTGGGTTTTTTATATTTGAGCTTGCCTTATAATTGCTGTGTGTCTCCAAGTGTTTATTTATAAGAGACCCTATGACAGGGTTTTCCTGACAAGGCTTCTTCAGAGGGAGTTTGCCATGGCCATCCTCTTGAGGCTGAGAGAGTGTGGCTTGCCCAAGGCCAACCAGTGGTTGTTTTTTTTAATATTGGAATCGAACCCTGTTCTCTAGATTCATAGTCCGACACTCAAACCACTACACCACCCTGGCTGTCTTTTTCCTTGTACAGTTTTCAAAGAAGCAGACCTGTTAGTCTCTTGCAGCATAAAGACAAGGAAGGAAGACGAAGGGGGAAAAAGAAATGTGTCCTCCACTTTTGAGACTAGCTGGTCTTTATTTTTGCATTCGCTTTCATGGATATAAACCCGCTTTTTTGGATTCAGTACAGATTGATAATAACTGCTTAGGGAGCCAGTGTGGCGTAGTGGTTTGAGTTTTCAAACAGTGGTAGAAACCTTTGAATTGTTCCTCTCAAAGCATTGTTTATCACATAATATGAAACAAGAGATCAAGTATTTTTTAAGGCTATAGAAGGCCTGAATGTGGCATAGTGGTTTGAGCGTTGGACTATGACTCTAGAGACCTGGGTTCAATTCCCTGCTTGGCCATGAATCCCACCAGCTGACCTTGGGTGAGTCACATTCTCTCAGCCTCAGGGGAAGGCAGTGGCAAACCACCTCTGAACAAATCTTGCCAAGAAAACCCCATGATAGGGTCACCATAAGTTGGAAACAACTTGAAGACAACAACAAAGCATTAAAGGGGAAAGGTTGCCTACCCCGACATAGACAATGCTGAACATAAAGAAAACAAAAATTATGACCACCGAGGACCTTCACAATTTCAACCTAGACAATGAAGAAAAAGAAGTAGTAAAAGAATTCCCATACCTGGGATCAAACATTGATAGAAATGAGTATTGCAGTCAGGAAATCAGAAGAAGACTAAAAATGGAGAGGGTGGCTATGAAAGAACTAGAAAATATTCTAAAATGCAAAGATATACAACTCAGCACAAAAGTTAGAATTATATAGGCCATTGTATTCCCTATTACCAAGTATGGATGTGAGACAGTTAAGAAAGATGATAGGAAGAAAATCAATTCATTTGAGATGTGGTACTGGAGAAGAGTGCTGAGGATCCCATGGACAGCCCAAACAAGGGTCCTAGAGCAGATCAAATTGGAAACCTCCCTTTTTTGGAAGTCAATATGACCAAACTGAGACTGTCATACTTTGGACATATAATGAGAAGAGGAAACTCTTTGGAAAAAACAGTAATGCTGGGGAAGGTGGAGGGAAGTAGGAAGAGAAGAAGGCCACATGCTAGATGGATGGACTCTATTAAGGACGTCATGGGTATTAAGGGTTGCAGGATTTAAGCTGAGCACTGGAGAACAGAGGGTCTTGGAGGTGTCTCATCCATAGGATCACCGTGAGTCAAGATCGACTCGAGGGCGGTTAACAACAAAACTATTTATTGAACTTATTCTCTTACCCCTAAAAGTTCATATAGAAAAAAACTTGAGTTCCCGTTGAGTTTAAACTTTATATTTGTGTGCTAGTAAGTATATGTTTTTATGTTGAATTCAAATCATTTCCCTCAGGTAAGTAAGGATATACAGCTGGAAAAGTTATAGAAAAGAACAACCAAAATAATTGACAGACTGGAGTAGAGTTGTCCCTTGGTATCCGCGGACTTGCCATTCACGGATTCCATCATTCATGGATGGCAAGCCCACGCTGTCCCCAATGGCAGTATGTGCATGCAGCCACGCCGCCATTGGGAGACAATAGGACAAGCCTGCCCGTCTGCCTGCCTTCCTTCCGTATCTTTTTCTTCCCCCTGTGAGGCTTCTGCCCTGGGCTTAGCTTTGGGGGGGCGGAGGCTGCAGCCCCATCAGCCTCAGGGAGTCAGCGCTGGCAAAGGGGCTTGGCGTAGGGGGTGGAGGCTCCAAGCCCCAAGCCCCTGTGCCTGGCTCCCTGTGGCTGATGGGGTTGTAGCCTCCGCCCCCAAAGCTAAGCCTAGGGAATCCTCAGATGGGAAGGAGAGAGGAAGGGAGGGAGGTGTCCCATTGTCCCTCCTTCCCTGTGGCTGATGGGAAATGGGACTTGAGCATTCGCGAATTTTGGTATCTGCGGGGTCTGGAACAGATCCCATGCGGATACCGAGGGATGATTGTACCTACATGTGGAACAACTAAAATGTTTAGGAATCTTTAATAAGGTGAGAAATAAGCATGGAGGTCTATACGATATGTGTATATACTTTTCAACTGAGGCTAACACTTCATGTGATGAAGAAGACTCTAGGCAATCATTAATGTGTTAATCTTTGTGATACTACAGGACTCAACACTTTATGTTCCCATGTCATGCAAAAGGGAAAAAAATAGAGCTTTTCATTAGTGATTGGTTGTGTTGTGGTTCAGATTTCTCCTTGTTTCTTTATGTTTGCGTAAATACCTCCCCATCCCACCACCTTTTTTTCTTATGGCTTTTGCTCCTGGTGCATATCTTGGTACTTATGAAATGGTATGCAGTCGGTCTTCTGTATCCACAAATTCTTTTTCTATGAATTCAACCATCCAAATCCCAATGGATATCAAGGGCCCACTGTATTTTTAAAAAGCCAATGTGAGGTTTTATGCAGTGTTACTTAATACAGAAGGCATGTCTCAGTGTCAGCTTATGAAGTGTACCAGCATTAGTGTGTTTGTGGTACTGGCACACTTGAGAATGGAAGATCATAGTGCTAGCTTTGTTTTTTAGTATTGGGATCAACTTTGGGCCATATAGATTAATGGCAAATAAAATATATTCTCCTTTGACCACTAAGTGCATGCCCTTTAGGGACAAGGAGTGTCCTGGACTGCAAGCTTGAACTTTGGCTTATTATTATTATAATTATTTTGGGGTACTTCCCATTAGTAGGAGTGCATGGGAATATCTGAAGTGCTGTTCTTTGTAGATTAGTCCATCTTATTTTAGGAAACATTCTGGACTGGCCACAAAAGCTGCAGAATCTTTTCAAACCTTGTTCTCATCACAATACACAGTATCCCTTTTCTCTTTAACAACCCTTTTGTGACTGCTTCCCATTTGAAAACATGTATGAACTGTGTTTTTGTCTTCCTCTTGCTAGGGTTATGGCAGAGAAATACAGACTGCATACCACAAGACTTATTCCCACTGTGCACTGGGAGTTCTGCCAATTAGATTTCAGAGGGAAGCAGGAAAAGCTTTCTCTGTAAGAAGGTGGGTACTGTTTTGGATTTTTTAGGACAGAAAAACAATACATTAGTTTGTGATATATTTTATAAATAGGTATTTATGTTACATAAAAAGCAACGTGATTTTAGTTGATAAAAGTCTAATTCTAAAATTCTTCTATCAGGGTTTGTGTTTATGCCATATTTCAATTGAAAAAAATTGTTCTGAGTGATTTCTGGGGTGTTTCTGACCTTGTAAGAAATGAGGAGACAAAAATGCTTCACATCCACAACTGTGTTTATGTGTGTAGGATGAAGGGTTTTCCACAATACTCAAACACGCAACCAGAAAACTCAGGTTCACATGAGTTCAATAATTGATAGACCACCTTTTCTTTTAAAAATGTAATTAATAGAACTGCTAAGCTGTAAAAATACTGTTAATTTCAATTGAAAATTTAAAAACAGACTTGTTTTAAACCCACCAAAATAGGAAATGGGCACAGACATAAACCCCATCCTAGAATTGTAAAAAGCTTTTTTTTAATTATTCATTTGGATGAAGGCTTCTTATTAATACTATGGTGAAATAATTTTCTGTCCCAATAATAAATGCCCTACTGCTTCATAATAAATACTGTATATACTCGTTTATATGTCTAGAAATTTTAGTCAAAAAATTGACTCTCAAAACCAGTCAACTTATACATGAGTCAATGTAAGTACTGTACTTTAATTCTTATTTTAAAAAAGGAACCATCCCCTGGTGAAAGGCAAGAGGGTAATCTGTCCCAGAAGCACTGACCTGTCTCTACTTTCTCATTCATCCAGGTTTTAGGATGACTACAAACAGTTATGACTGCTGGAATTTTGTTAAGTTCTTTGGCATCATTTTCCTTTGTTTTGTACTTTACATCCTTTGTCACACGCCCCTACGTTTTACCCTCGACTTATCCATGGGTCATATAAAAATCCATAATTTTGGCCTCAAAACCTGCCCTCGAATTATACATGAGGTCAACTAATAATAATAATAATAATAATAATAATAATAATAATAATAATTATTATTATTATTATTTGTATGTCCCTCCTCTCCCAATGGATCGAGGCGGGAGTACAGCAATAGAAATAAAACAACAAGTTTTATAGTTGAGTATATACGGTACCCATTCTTTGTGCCAGCCTTTCTACAGACCACCAGAGCTTCTCATTTGGATGCTGCAGTTATCTTTGCAAGAATAAGTCCTGGATGAGCGCAATGTCATCTTTGCAAGCAGTTATCTTTGCAAGCAAGAGTAAAAGACATAATTCTAGCATAATCGCACAATTGCACTGAATATTTTCAGATGACATTGCGCTCATCCAGGACTTATTCTTTGAAGATCCAAGAGAATCCAGTAAGTGGTTTTCGGATCGCGCAATAATTGTCTGATTGTGAAGGTGTGAAACCTCATAGTGATGCTATGAAGTGATTGCTGTGCTGTCATCTTTTTTAAAAAAAAATTTTTATTGAGTGCTGTCCTCTTACTAAATTTCCCCCCAGAAATCCCAGGGTGCTGTTCGGTAAGTTAAATTCGTGTGTCACTTTGCTATCCCAAGAGCATTACCTCACAGTGACTGCTGCGAGGGTCTTTTTTGCTGTGTTCCCTGGTATTTTTTTTCAGATATTTTTTGTTGATTCCATTGTTGACTCCTGATTTCCCCCTCGTATTTTCAAATGGGAAGTGGATGCTGGGGCACTGGTACATGTTTGGAGTTGGACTCCAACAGAACATTTAATGGCCAGGGCAAGGACTCATGAGGTCATTACTTTAACCTGAGACTTGTGCTATTTAAATGTACATGCATGGGAAAAGTATGCTGCCAGATTATGTTTTAGATATTCACCCCTGGTGAATAATATGTTTTAGATCAGATGTGAGATTGCACATAATGAATTACATAATTGTTGACACCAGTGACACTGGAAGTACAATACAACACGAAAACTGCTGTGATTCCATGTACTTATGCACAAAACTGATCATTCGTGAAAGAATAGCACAGAACACCACCAAGATGTGAAATGCAATAGTGCAGTTATATCATTGTTGTCATGCAATTATGGCAATGTGTGAAAAGATATGGCACCATTGTGCGATTGTATTGCTACCAGCAGTTAAAGGTATAATTGCGGAATTGTGCTGAAAATGAGCCTAGTGTGATAATCTCCCATGTTAGGCTTACTTGTTGTTGTTGTGTGCCTTCAAGTTGTTTCCAATTTATGGAGACCCTGAGGAAAATCTATCATGGGGTTTTCTTGGCAAGATTTGTTCAGAGGAGGTTTACCATTGCCTTCTCCTGAGACTGAGACCATGTAACATGCCCAGAGTCACCTAGTGAGTTTCATGGCCA